TGTCATATTTTTTAAGAAAAATATATATATATTTATACTATAAAACGTCATATTTTAATAATATCATTTTTAAAGTACCTCATTTTTGGTGCAAAAATATTTAAGTTTATTCTAACCACAATATTTAAGTGAACTTTTAAAGCTAAGTAGAACACATTTATTTCAGGTAAAAGACTTTAGTTGTTAACTATCGTAACTTGTAAGTTGTAAGTTTTTTCATTTTCAATGTGTCCCTTAAAAAAAGAACTGAAATTAAGGAACAATTATCTCAGTTTTTAAGACCAATCAATATCACTTGACTTTTTATGTACACGTGGATTTGTACTTAAGGTGCAATAATTCCACATTTTGCACCATGAAACTGAAAAAGACACCATAAATAAAATAGTGTTTGTAAATTGTAATGCCACCCACACAAGAAATGTTCTAATAATTTAGAAAAATGACTTACATAAATATGGATGCAAATTTGTAGTGATGTACACATAGATAATCTTATCTTATAATAAAAAATAATGATAAGGCTATATAATGGTTATGAAAATAATGTTTTTCAATATATTTGACATGCTTTCATCTTATACTCTTATAATGAAAAAATAATAACGTTGTTAGGCTGTTTAATGGTTATAAAATCATAAATTTTGAATGGATTTTACATGTTTTCATATTCGGATATATAATATTTAAAAATAATGTAAATAAAAATATGATATTTATAAGATTAGTATGTTTGTCTTTTGTTTTTTTTTAAAATATGTCTTTGTTAAGAAAGTACGATTGTCTAACCTGTTAGTGTTATATACTGAAAGCTTGACTTTGCATGTTATTACACATTTACCCTTTATGAATGAGAATCATGTTAGATTAAACAAGTTCTACGTTCTGTTGTTCTGCACTTAGATAGGGTGGGTCGTCATCGGGCGAACCGAAGATCACTCTGTCAGTCACTTGCGAACAAGAATAGTTGTTCACAACCTAGATGGACATGAACACCCCATCCGAACGGTTGTAGTGTCAACTGTACAGTTTGTCTTGACTGATTAGTTGCACTAGTACATTTATGTATTGAACAGGATCCCAGAGAGGAGAAGTTCATTTTATACTGATCGTCGTAAATGAACTAGGCCTCGGTTAATTACTGCGTTCTCTTAACCCGTAAGATATTAAACAGGCAGATATATATAATATATATTACTTTGATTCACATGGGTGA